GTAGTTTCAGGTATTATCGCGTTCAAATATTTTTTATTGCGAGGGTAGTGTTTTGTACATTTTTAGATTTATGATAATCTATACAGATAAATAAAATTGAAGTGTCTGTTTGTAATGTCAAAATAACAGCTTTTTACTAAATGCATATGGAATGATGATATTTATAAGAAAAACAAAATTTAAATTTTTTTTGTCTGTCTGTTTGTTCGAGCTAATCTCCGAAACGGCTGGGCCGATCTTGACGGGGCTTTCACTGGCAGGTAGTTGATGTTATAAGGCGTAACTTAGGCTACTTTTTAATATAAAAGAATTAGGGTTCCGCTCAAAAAATTAAAATGTGAACTTATAAAATAATAAAAAATACTTTACTTTTATTGCTTTAATGGAAGAACTACTGTTTTAAAGAAATTTTTGTTATAAGGCAACCTAGGGTATAAAATTTTGCCCGATGTCAATTATAGTTCCAAAACTGGAGCCAACTTTGCCGTTAGTTAACGAATACTATTTAAGTTGATAATGCTTTAATTAGTGTTTTACTGTCAGTTCGTGCTTTTCGCGCGGAGGAAAATTAAAAGTTTTGCTTGCGTTTTGGATAACAGGGTGATAAATTTTGATTTGAAAACTTTAATTTTTTATTATCATGAGATTAAAACTACAAGTAGAGTAATGGTATTAAAATTATGTAACCCCTAACCTATTTTATAGCCTTTACTTGGCGCTATACGTATAATAATGACTTAGCGAAATCGATGTGCGCGTTGCACGCAAAAAGTACTAAACCGATTTTAACAAAATTTTGTGTAGTGATAACTTATTACTTGTGTCAACATTTAGGATATCAACGTTTACTAAGGGAAAATTCATTCCACGGCAAAACAATAACTGGTTCTATCCAGTTGTACTTAGAAATTTTACATGTCTAACGCTGGCTAAACCTTAAGAGATACATCAAAACAATGTACTGGAAAATTGTAGGTCTTAATAAGGCCTACAAAAATATCTGAAATAGCATAAGTCTTTCTCCTAAGGTAAACTCGCAGTAACTTTTCAGTTATCTTCCGAGCGAAGTGAGGGTAAGTCACTACTTTAGTGTAATATATAAAATATTTTAAAACTTCTCTGTTTAATTTGACGACAAAAGCCTTTTATCCAGTGATTTCAAATTTAAGTCCACTTTGACAACTTCTTTAAGCTGTGATTAATGTTATAATTGAAACTTATAATTTATTGTTGCTACGTTTTATATTAATATAGCATTGCCCGCGGCTCCGCCCGCGTTTAGATGATCAAAAAGCAAATCCTTAGGTTTTACATATTAGTATAATCTTATATTGCAGTTTTTGTATTTTTTCTCAGAAATGAGATATTTTCCCGCAGTAAAAAGTATGCTATATGTTGACTCGAATAACCAGCATCATCGTAGCAAAATTCATCAAAATCCCTCTAGTAGTTTTTCTGTGATGCGGTAACAGACAGTCAGACAGACAGAGAGACAAAAATTCTAAAAACTATAGATTCGGACTCTGTATCGATAATAATGTCTATTTCAATAAGATTTTCCAAAAAATATTGAATGTACACATTCGACTTAGTTACAATTTCATTATATGTATAGATTACCGACAAAATACAATATTTTTCTGTATAAAGCGGAGGTAATAACCTGTTACTTGATATACTAGCTCTTTGGCACCGTACACATTTGTTCTAAGCTGAATCACCTTAACGTCTTTGTTTTTCGTCTTCCGGCCATTTAATACTAAAATATTTTGTCGTAAAAATATATTACTATTGATTTCAGAATTTCAGTATTAAAGCTTGGATATTTATTTTTTTTAAAAATTGATAGGAAGTATATCAATTCTTCTATTTTTAGCTTTTGATTATTATTAAAACACTAGCATTGCCTGCGACTCCGCCCGCGTTCAGTTGACCAAAACCCAAATTCTTAGGTTTTACATATTAGTATACTCTTATATAGCAGTTTTTGTATTTTTCTCAGCAATGAGATATTTTCCCGCGGTAAAAAATATCCTATATGTTGACCCGGATAACCAGCTATCATCATACCAAATTTCATCAAAATCCCTCCTGTGGTTTTTCTGTAATCCGGTAACAGACAGACAAAAATTATAAAAACTATAAATTCGGCCTCTGTATCGATAATAATGTTTATTTCAATAAGATTTTCCAAAACATATTTAATTTACAGATTTGGCTTAGTTACAATTTTAATATATGTATAGACAAGATACTTTATGAACATTAGTTTCCTAACATTAAAGCCTACTCACGTTGTCTCTTCGAAAATAACTCATAAGATGCGAACATCACGTAAGATATATCAATCCTTTATCATCGCATATGACCTGAATTACCCTAACAGACACACTTAGGGTGCAGATAAATCACGAGGCAATTTTTTCCTCCTTAATTTACTGCTTATTCGGCGCCGACGCCAATCTTACCTTCGTCTCGTTTGACTCTTCTTTTGATTGATCGATTATTTTCTATTTGTAGTTATAGATTTACACAAAGAATTCTAACGAGATATGTATTTGAATATGTTGGGACAAACACACAGTACCATCTAGTTCCATGGTAAGCTACGAGGCTTGTGTTATGGATACCAGATATTTGATATACTACACAATATGACTCTAAATACAGACATATTATAAATATAAACACCCATGACTGGAGTAAAAAAAACATACAAATAAATTCCCCTGGCTGGACTCGTACCCGCGACCGTTGGCACAGTAAGTAGCCAAACGTGTCGTCCAAAGTGAAATTAAAATTTGCTGTAAATTTCGAAACGCTATAAGATCGTTAAAATTTGGTGTAGAATGTTTGCATAATCTACATTTCAATGAGTTATCGCAACTTTGGACATCCCAAAGCAGTTTCCATGCACTTTAAATATTAGTTTATAAGTTAAAAGTCTAGATTTTGAAGTGGTTTTCTTGAGTGTCTAATGTTTTCAATATTGGAAAGGTATAATTATAAATTAATAATTTAAAAACCCCCGTCGCAAATTAATTGTCATCTAACGATTACACTGGCACGCGTATGGCACTTAATCGAGTAATCATACGCCAAAATGCCTTACATCATTTTGGAAAAGAGCTGATACTCTTACACTGCTGGATCGATAATAACCAAACATAGCTAAGAACCACCGCAAGGAAACCGACTTTCAAATGAAAGAAACCGCATCGAAATCGGTCCATCCGTTTGAGAGCTACGATGTCACAGACTTTTTTGCGTCGGGGGTTAAAAACTGAGTTTAGCTTAATTATTTATCTGTTCGGTGTAAACACTAAACAAATAAAAAATAATTCATTATTGCGGAGAGTTCAAGATATTTTTTTCATATTAATTATCAATAGTATTAGTTATCTTATTGTTCTTACAATTAATTACATATTTATACTAAAAATTATGTTGCTTTTTTTGATGTCAACAAGTATTCGTATAACAGTTTGAACTATTAACAATTAGTACTTAATTTCGCCTATTTCTGGGCACAGGCCTTTCCTCAATTAATATTAAGGCCATAGTTTACCACGATGCCCAACGATTGTAACTGACTTCACACGTCTTTCAAAATGAAGTTAATTTCTTTTAGTTTTTATTCTTCGTATTAAGAAGTGGTAAGCGTGTTGAGAATGATTTGCACTTAAATTCACAGAGCTACGTTACTTTACTTCTAATACGCTTTACTTGGCGAACTCGTTACCAATGAACTATCCCAGAATATCAATCCAAAGTAACGAAAATACAAAAGTAACTCTGTCTGTCAGTTACGTTTACACGTCAAAACAGCTGAACCAGAACCTTTTGATTAATTTTGGTATAGAGATATATGAGATATTGATAAAGGACATAGGTTACTTTTTGTCGCGAAAATAAAACTTGAAGCGGAGGTGAAATTGGGATGGGGTGGAAGTTTTGTATAGGGAACCAACTACCTAACGCTACAACTATTTTAAATAAAACTATCTTTTCGGATTTTTTCGTGATGATTTTTGGTTCCCGACGTTTCGAATGCTTTTCAGCAATCATGGTCACGGGAGAGACTGAGGTGTTAGATGTCTTAAAGGTATTATATGGATGTTACAGACAGTCTACCTATTAACAAAATGAATTAGAAAAAATATTTTTTTAAAATGTCAAATATTCGCGTTAATGTAAGAAAGTACTACAACAATTTTTTTATTTATTTAAAACATACCTAGTGGCGCACCCAAGTGAAGCGAGGGTAGGTCGCTAATATTTTCATATTTTTAGTGGCTGATTTATACTAGGTAAGTGTGTCTATCTAAAAAAAAAGTTTTACTCAGAACACAACGGCAAAAAGTATTGAAATATTTTGTTTAGAAAGGGATATAACCGATGTCGTAGAGCGGATGCAGATGCGGACATGGAAAAGGACGTCGGAATCGTTTAATTTCCACGGAAGGGAAGGTCGAGTAAACATCAATAATAAAAGACCCGTTTTTGGTTAGACATGTGTATTTGTAATAGGGTTCGAGGTGATATAAATAGCGGACTTTAAAATGGCATGTTAATTATGATTAGAGTGCTAATTGTTATTGAAATCGTTGTGTACATTTTTTTCTTCATTTTTGATTGGCCTTATGTTATTTTCTGTAATACAAAATTTAATACTTTCTTAGATTTACGCGAATATTTGACATTTTAAATAAAACTATCATTTCGGATTTACTCGCGGATTTATTTGGATTTTTGGTTCCCGACGTTTCGAATGCTTTACAGCAACTATGGTCACGGGAGAGACTCATGGACTCATAGTCAAAAAATCCAAAAAGATAGTTTTATTTAAAATACAAAATTTATTTTAAATAAGATAGTTTTATTTAAAATACAAAATTTATTTTAAATAGTGCTTGTTTCAGTTCATTTTTCGTCACTCATTATTTCATAGTCAATGACGTAGTGACATATCATTTTTGTCTGAGAAATTTTATCTAACCATGGTACGAGTATTATTTGTTGGTGAAATTTTGTATATTCTCATAAAGATACTAGCGACTCACACTCGCTTCGCTCGGGTTGCTCGTGCATCACAAGATGATTTTCGTTTGGTTGAAATAGTACCTATATTAGCTGACTTCGTCGTTAACGGACAAGGCGATGACGTAAACGTTGATGGACGAGGCAATGATGTAGACGTAGACGGACGAAGCGATGTTGGAAAGGTAGGAATTCCTGAAAAGTAGACATTAAAAAATGTTTATTCTCTACTTCTAGTAAATTTACATTATCATCATCACCCTTTTTATATTCCCACTGTTGGGACACAGGCCTCTCTGTGAAAGGGAATAAGTGGTAATTAATTTACATGAAAACAAACCTTCAAATATTGTCGGAATGCTACCTGGTTTCAATATGGTTCTGTTGAAATGTTTGTCGAAACATTCATCAGCGAAATGTAATGAACAGAGAGAATCATATGTTTTAGGAGTCCAGTTGGTAATTTTCATATTCTGAAGCCAAACTTTTCTCTCTTCCAAGTCTTTTGGAAATCTGGAAAAAATATATTATGTTCAGTAACGTAATCTCTCAGCTCTTATTTTGAGTGTCCAATGAAGGTTAAACATTTCATATCCGTTAATATGTGAGAAAATAAATTGACCACACAAGCTGGACTATGTCAATATCACGGAAAAATGAGTTAAATCAACTATCGATAATGAAAATATTGATATGATACCATCACTGTCGGTTATATTCGTAGTTGAAAATTGTAAAAATAATCTTTATTCATACGAATTTCATTAATGCTTTTTTTTAATTAAAGTAAGCAATGATACAAATAAGTAAGATAAGATTATTACGTAAAAAATTTGATAAGTAAAAATATGACTAAATAAAGTAATATAAAGGTACCTGTGGAATGATATTTCACTTTTTTTTGTAGCGCCGCTTACAATATACACATGACCTCATACTTGATAACTTTTATATAATGCATATAACAAGAATAATATTAAATTCGAACCAAATTGATTCAAAATGCAAAATTACTTTATAGTAAACAAACATTTCTATCGCAGTCATTTGCAATATACGTCAAAATTAGTTCTCTGGACATTCGCTAGTGGCGCTTCAAATAGACACAAAAAAATTGCTGCCAAACGCTTGGAACAGCCTGTCCAGTGGTATTATAGAAGTTAGTGGTATAGATAGATTGACGTATTATATTTGAAAATATCCATCTTAAAGAAATATCACTCAATAGGTTACGACGCGGTCGCGGTTCCTACGTGTATATCGTATTATCTCTTTAACCATTTGTCCAAATTATATGCAGTATAAGGGAATAGTCTATTGTTTTAAATATTTTAGACGATAAATTTACTTATTTTCATAAGAATTCATAATTGTTGATAATATGATCAATAAACATGACCTATTAATTTACGAGTAACTACTTTTTGTGACTTAAATATAAAAGTTAGACATATGCTGTCGCTGAATTTTTTGTAAGCATTATTAAGCTCTACAACTTTTCTCTAGAACATAATCATATATCTCTTATTGTTAAGGCAGCGTTCGTAAGAATTGTTTTCGTTCGACCGTTTTTTTTTCCGACTTACTTTGCAAATCCAACTACCACGAAAAAGCCTTTTCATTCTTCGGGTTAATACATATTAGCATAGTAATATAATAGCCTATGACACTCAGAAAGAACGTGGCTTTCTATTGAATTACACCCTACAACGTCACAAACTCACAATATCACAGATGAAGAAGTGTTTCAAATGTATGAATTTAACCGTATTTTTAATTTTATTTATTTTTAACTTTACTTTTTTTATAATTTAAAATATTTTTTTATTTATATTTTAATGAATAAAGAATACTCAGCTACAGTTATACAGTTTTGTAAGCAAGCTATTTTGTTTTATATTTTTCACTAATTACTTTTACTTATTTCTTTTTTAAACGAATTCCAAAAAGGAGGAGGTTATCAATTCGTCGGAATCTTTTTTTTTCTTTTTTTTATGGATGCTCACCGATTACTCGAAGACACCTGAACCGATTTCGATTTTTATCTAATAGGCAAATATGTATTTTACGTATCGAAATATATTAGATTTGCTTTGCATCGGCTGGCACCGACTTCAAAAATATCTGATTAGGTATCTATTCTAAATGAAAACCTCCGTTTAGTTATTTTTTACATTTTAGTGCCTGGAAGTCGGTTTTTATTTTTTGTTAAAAATTTTTTATACTGTTTACGTTATAAGATAGCATCATACCTCATTAGCCATTAGTCTACAGTAATACGGGTGAAGGCACCGTTGGAATGAATTCATAAGTCAGAAAGAGGAGTCCCAATATTTTAGCGAGTGAATAGCAGAAATAATTTCGCATCGCAATGGCATTCATTCGATCGCACGTATCCATTTTGGTTCTAGCTATCGGAAATTATACTTTACAATATGGGAATAGGGAGCAAGTAATTTAGATTGACTTTTCGTGTATTCATTTTTAACTCGCGGCTAAAAAGAGCGATTGATGCGTGAATTTATGTGACATGGATGAGTGTGTGTTTAGCAGGCAGTTTGTGGTGGTTATTGCTTTTTAACGTATCGATTCTATATTGATACAAGTTTATATTTAGTATAACAATAATATTGTATATTTGTGATATTATAAGAGACTAGCGACTCATCCTCGCTTCGCTCAGGTTCGTCCCTAGGTTGCTTCCCCATACAAACTTTCACCCTCATTTTTACCCTCTTAAGGGATGATTACCGGGATAAAAACTATCCTATGTCCTTCCCAGGGTCTCAAACTATCTTTTGGCCAAATTTTATCTAAATCGGTTCAGCAGTTTCGGGGACTATTTGATAGAAACAAGCAAAATTTTCTTATTTTTAATATTAGATTAGTTTTACATTTTTTTAAATTATAATAAAGATATGAGTACATCAAGGCTTGTTTAAGTGCCCTATAATAAATCACTAAATATTAAGCATTTTTTAAAAATGTAACTTTTGACGTGAAGTTTCTATGGCAATAAGTATTACGAGTATAGTGTCTATTAATGTGTATTATTCATATTCCTAAAAAATAAAAAAAATAAGTATTTTATCTGTTATTTCGTTCACCATTTATCTATTATTTTTTTATACTATCGCGGTATATGAAGATTTCAGTACATAAAAGCGTATTGTAATGCGATTTAGCGTATGAAAAACAGCTAATACTTAACGATATGATTTCTCATAATCGCAGAGCGTGACAAATCACCGCGACGCGGCAACGCGCGCGATTCATACTTGATTTATCATTTACCATTACTTTATATTACAGAAACTACTGGCACAAATTGCTTTCGTCTTTTCCAGACACTCTGTCGACATATGAAAAACGTTATCAATATGTATAAATAAAAATCAACTTTTGTACTGAAAAGAGTAATAGCGGCAGATACAAAACATTCACTGGAAATAATCACAAATATCGCTTGCAATATTGTACTATGTATATTTTTTCTTAATAATTATTTTCTTTTGTATCGTAATACTTTTGTGTAGTACTATAAAAGTCTCTATATATATGTTATTTTTTGCAGGTAAGTTTAACTGGCATCTATCGTCTGTTCGCTACGAAGTTTCGATTCAACTCAACCAGGGTAAACCAATTTGATTTTTTTTACATACAACTATAGTATTGTTATGTCGAAAAGATTTTGTCTGATATAGTCTAAAATTCTGTTCTGTTATCTCGTCATAAATATTATTATTAGTATTCGTTTTCATCGATTTGTTAGCTTTAATAGTAAGCTTTATATCTTCGTAGAAACTTTAGGAAATTCAAAACGCAATAACGTGTGAGTCCTAAAAAGATTTTTCCAATTTTATTATCTTGATATCTTAACATTTTGTTTTTAGTTGAACCCAGTTGCTGGCATGCAAATTTAAATATTGTATTATTTTTTATTATAACCCAATCTCTTAAAAAACGTAATCTATACTATAATTTTAGTGCTGAATATAAAGACTACTGATAATCAGTAAATTTTAAGCTTCTGTTATTAAACTACGAAATACTCCAGTACTTAATTATGATTTCAATCTGTACAAAAAATCTAGATTTTAATACGCATATAATGTATTACCGCGACTTTATTAGCTCTACCCCGCGGCTCATTGGTGGCGCTCCTTTATTAACGTAACCTCGAATAACCAAAGTTTAATATTAATACTGACACGCACACAACAATGACCTATAACGTCCCGACATAGAGACTAGAGTCTTTTGAACTCACTCCATGATAGCTAAATTATACAGTGTCTCACATTTTTAACCGTTCCGAAATATTACAGAGGGGGTTGATAAAATTCTTTGTTGTTTACAGCACTTTAAGACTGAATAATGGGTGATTTTTGCGTGCAATGGATATTGTGATAATGTAAATTTAATTCTATGATCCGTATTTAATATTATAAGTGTGAAAGTTTGTGAGTATGGATGTTTGTTACTCTTTCACGTCAGAACGGATGAACGGATCTGGATGAAATTTGGCACAGAGATAGATTATAGTTTGGAATAACAGCTACTTTTTATCCTGCTAAAATGTACGGTTCCCGTGGGATAGGTTTGTTTTTGTTTTCCTATAGGCAAACCCGAGCGAAGCGAGCGAATTTCAAATCACAACGAATCTATAGAAGTTTCACTTCAAAAAATATATATTGACGTATGAGTAACTTATATTACGTTCTTCTATTTTAGAAATTCACGTAACATTTTAGTTTATCTCATGTTAAATGAATGTTTTGTACTATCATTAATGATAATTAATTATTAAGTAAGCGTCTTTCAGATATAAGGTTGAATAAAACTGTTAGTTTTATTGTTAGCAAGCATTATTTAGACGTCGAGCTATCTACGAGTATCGGGCGCGGCGTTCTAAAGCACTCCAGGGTCCTAAGTCCTTTTCAGATTGTGCTGAGAACTTTGAAAATATATCTGTATTTAAAATTATTTCTTATCGTTTTAACAACATCATTAAACTACTGGTAACATACATTTTCAATCAAAATAATACTTCTTTTCCATATTAAAAAACATTTCCATTTAAAAAAAAATAGTCTTTATTTAAACAACACAAAGGTAACAAATACACTCAGTCCTAACTCCTGAACTAGAAAACTGTGTTTCAGGAGCTAGAATTTACACTAAG